CAGTACCCTGATATACGTGTTCGTCAAGCAACTGCTTCGACTTTTGCCAAGTATGTATTTTGTAAAGATAATAATTACGTAGCTTTTTTCGAATTTGGATGAATAACTCGATTTTATTGCATTAAGTTAGTTATTAGCTACTTTTTGATTTTAAGGTTTGTTGATCACAATTCATTTTTACCATGTCAATGGATATATAAAATTCATCATTCATTACAAGTTCAAGCATCAACTCGAATACAAATTGTTTGTCATTTTTATCTTTTATATAGGTTGGATGTTTTGAAGATATTTATGTTCTTTCATATGTTTTAAGACCAACAACAATTCGACTAATTTTTTCATAATCAATATGATCAACTTCGTTTATTTATAATTTTTTTTTAAACATCCCTTTATATTACATGATCTTAATAATTTAATCTTTTCAAGTAAAGAGAAAAAAAGATATTTATTATGTTTTTTTTTGAATTCTTTCTTTTTATTTGAAGATTTATCAAATCTCAGCAAACGAAAAAATGTTTTGAAAGTAGCACAAATGATTCAAGTAATTGGAAAATTGAACTATTTTATCATCATTCTTTTGGACAGAATATAGTTGATATTTCAGTTTTCACAGAAGAAGAGAGTTCCAAAGTGTTAGATTTGAAGAATATATTTGATCATGTTTCCTCTGAATGAATTCATTTGTTTTTTTCTTTTTAAATAGAATGAAAAAGATTCATCAACAACATCAAGCACAGACAAAGGTAAAAAAGTTAATCGTACACAATTAGGTACTTTTGGAAATTATTCGAATTAATACGTTCATCTTATCAATTACATAAAAGTTTATTAAATTCATCTGAAAATGATCATTATTGTCTATGAAATCAGTTTTACGTCTTATTTCTACACAAGATTTATCAAAAAAACTTGGAAGAGAAACACTTAATTATTTTAAATCAACATTCAATGTACACAAAAGGTAACTTCTTTTAAATAGTAAATATTTATTGTTTAAGCTAAAACCTTTAGGATGTCGTATTGTGTCTGAAATTTGTCTATGGATAAAACTTTAGATGAAAATGTTTTAATTAAGGTTGATGAAAGGATCTTTCCTATAGAAGGAAAATTTCAATATAAGAATGTCATAGTAACAGAAAAACTGATTTTACAAATATCGACGATCTTAACGAGATTAGTTTTGTTGTGAAAGTGTCAGATCTTTTGATTCGGTTCTATCTTGAAATTCGAATATTAAATCATCTAGTTGACGTGAGCGATCTGAAAGAAACGCTATCAATTCGAAATTTGAAAATCATTTTTTCTGTTAGCACAACATTCATTTAAAAATATTCTTTTAATTTAGTTTTTATTAAATCTTCAAATGTTTCTTCACAAGTATCATTAAATAATTCTTTAACTTATATTCATACAATAAGTATTCGACAATCGATAATTTATTTTATTTGGTTCACGTTATGCATCAAGTATAAATAGTGCAATACGACAGTAAAATGAACAAAAAAACGAATTTGATCTATTCTGTTTTTTTTGTTTTCTATTTTATAGTTTTTATTGAATTAAAAGAAAATTAATCTTAAAAAATATATTAATATACAAATGAAAGTGATTTTCAAGCTGCTGTACTCGATTTACTTGTTCAATTACTTTTAATTCGTGTTAATTATGGTTAATTAGAAGCTGATGAAATTCGTTGCATTTCTAATCGTTTCGTTTATTTTTAAATAGCATTTTGTTTATTGTATTGCTGAATTTCTTGTTATGTTATTACATGATACACTTCATTCAAAACAAGTTATTAAAGTACAAGATTTAATAAAACATTATGATTCATTATTAGCAAGTGGACATGAACCTGAAACACATGGTAGGAAGCAAAAAAAACATTTTTGAGAAAATGAAATTATCATTAAAATTCTTTATTTAGCTTTGACAGCATTAGAACCACTTTTATATGATTTTTTTTCTTGTTCGAGTTATGCAAATAATTAAAATTCCTAAAAAGTTTTATTAAATGAGAGTGAACAAAAAGTGTCCTTCTATAAAGTCTCAAATATCTTAGAAACTCGAGAGGTGTGAGTATGGGTGTGTAGATGTAATTTTTCTCCTCGATTGAACCTACACTTCAACAAATTGATGATCTGAAAATAATCATCTTGTTGTTATGTATTTGAGTTTGAAGGGAAATTAGGCGTCTTAATTATTATAAATAAAAGTATCTTTTCATGTCATGTGTATGTACTGAAAAAATAATAATAGAATTTATATTGTTATAGGCTTTACGATTGTTCACAGTTTTTGTTAATAGTGTTCAAATTGAAGATGATAAATGGAAACGTCTTTCACGATAAATTGTCGATGTACTTGTTCATTTACAATCACATGTTACTATTGGTTTATCTCAGGTTATTTTTTTTGTTCAAATAGGATCAATCACTTTTGGATATTTTTTCCACACAATTAACACTATATTTGATGTTGTGTCATCAGTTGAATTACGATCAATTGATCCATTTGTTGTTGCTTTTCGAGCATTAGTGAATAGAAATGTCCGTTGTTTCTATTTATAAAATTTTTCTGTAGTTTACAATTTTTTAGAATGTCAATTGTCAATCTACAAATCGATAGTTAATCAATATATATATAATACTTCGATGTCTTGTACAAAATTTAACTGAAGATGCTATATTAACACGATAGAATGATGTTTTATTATCAGTTCATGGAACACGAGATGAAACTTTTAGTGCGTAAGTATTCGAAATGATTTTATTTCTAATTTAACAAGTATTATTCTCGTTTTTGTTTTCAGAGCTCTTCTTCGAATTTTACATGACGTAATATTACGAATTTTAACTAATACTCGGCAATTATGTGGTCAAATCAATATGACATTAGGTTCTCTTGCATCCGATTATCTTTATGTACATATCACCCATTAATTTGAAGATAAAACTTTCCTGCAATTCATTAATTACTAATGACCTAGCGAAAAACATTTGACTTTAAAATTCCTATGCTTATATACGATCTATAATTTTATTTTGGCTAAACAATTTCGAATAATTGTAAATGATTTTCATCAATTATGAATTCATGATGAAACTGTACATCGGCTTGAGACATTTTCATTTTTAGTTATTTTAAGTGAATGTTTTAAATTATTATGATCATCATTTTATATCTCATTATTATTACAATGGATACATATTCTGAATATGCTTGATTATACACAAGAAGCATGCTGGTCACCGACATTAACACCATCATCAAGAATACATTTATCTATCAGTGGTCAATTACAATCTTATTGTGATTTAATATATCATCATGAATTATATGTTGAACATTTTACATCAATAACAACACATTATCAATTATTATTATTATTTTTTATTTTATCTTATACATCATACATCAGTTGCAAGTCATTTATTTTTTTTGTGAAAGAATACATTTAGATGAAAGTGGTCTTATATTAGTTTTATTAGTTGAACAATTCCTTCCATTACCATTAAATAAACAATTATGACCTAAATATATACCATTAATTTTATAAATATTATCAATAACAATATCAATCGATATTATTACAGAAGATTTTAATAATCTTAGTTGTCATATGAATATAACAAGAAAAATTTATGAACAAATGTTTAAAAATGTAACATATAAAAACTGATTACCATTTATGATGTCACCTGTATGTTTTAGTTTAATTTATCGAAATAAATATATATATATGTATAATAAAAATTTTAATCCAATGAAAAGAAATGTTTTTTGTTACTTTGACATTGTTTATGTGCTAGTAATAGATGAGACTTTTGAATAATTCAAAATTTCGAAAAATATTTTGAAATAGAAAATATGCAGAATTTCAGGTAATACAAATTGTAAAGGAAAGCATTTAAGCTACATTAGTACAATGACCGAATAATTCCTCTCGAATCTTATTGATCAAATTCTCAGTCGTGCTATTTGTACTATTACAATTAAAGAAAACGACGTCTTTCTAATATTATATTTCGAAATAAATTGCATTCGAGAATTTCGATAAACTTTCTATAAGTTTGAACTCGTGAACACCGAAAACGTATTGGATTTTTTCCACAGCATTAAATTTTTAGGATGATTCTTATAGTAAATGAAAATTAATTTGAGAAAATACGAAACAATATAAATCTGTTCTTTGTTTTTTTCCTAGGATTTTGTATCGTTATATCAAATGAAACAAATTAAAATGACATTGAAACAACATCTAATACAATTTATGAAAAAAGTCTTTTATCATGCTTCTAATAATCAACCATATTCAATTGCATTCATAGATTCTCTATCAAAATATTTTGATACAATACAAAATTATGTTGAATTAACATGTCAATTTTCAACAGGTGACATACGTGATTTATTACGTTTTATAATATTTATATCAGAAATAATTTATATAAATATATTTCAAAAAAAAAACATCATTTCTTAGTTGTGAAACAGATCAAATAATATCATGTTGTACATTATCGAAAATACTATTATCAATATTTGAATATCTTTATCAACAACATGGTTTAACTATATCAAATATATTATAATCATATTTAAATTTAATTGAACCAGATAAAAGATCATCTTTCTTATTTAACAAGAAAATTAAATATATATATCATATATTTATTGACATGATTTATATTGTATAGTTATATTATTATTTTGTTTACCAATATTTATATAAAGAGAATTTTGGAGTTGGTTGATTATTAAGAATACGATTTCAAGAAATATAGGCTTCATTTTTAGCTTCAATTAATTCACCACAAATCAATCTAATGATGAAAATAAACAAACAACAAATAATTTACAAAAAAAAAGAAGAAATTTTAGAAACAAATGCAACACAATGGTAACAAGCTTGAAAAATAAACTAGATTTTATCTATTCTTTTTTTATCGGTGGTCAATATATGCAAACACGTTCAACATTAGATACAAGTTCAAATAATTTATTTACAAATATTGAACGGTTAGGTACACGTGATTTATTATCCTATGGACAACTTTCATATGATACTATATTAACATCAATCCAAAGTAATAATACATTACCATTGTCAGTTAATGTAAGTCTCACATATGTTTTAATAATCGACAAATAGAACTCTAAGTTAAAAGAAAGATAAATTCATTGCTAAATTATTAATTCCATCAAATAGAAAATCTAGTGTTTCTCTGACTTTGATTTTATATATAATACATGCAAACTATCTTATTTCATAGAGATAAAAGCTTATATCAATAATTTCAAATATATTCTATCAATCAGAAAATTAGAGTATGAACATTTTCTTTTCTGGCATCCATCTTGAAAAATATACAATTTAGAGTTTATTTGATCGCTTATTTTTTCATCATGGTTTTGATTTAACATTATCATTACAAATTCTAATTGAAATATATGTAATATGAATTAATAGGTTCATTTATATATCTATCTGATTTATTTGTACATGGTTTGATGAAGATGATTTAATAATATCCTTAATAAGTTATAATTTATGTAAATCTAGTATATTACTTGAACAAAGAACTAAAGAATATAATGAATTATATATAAATTTAATTAAACGTAATTATAAATTAATAACTAAAACTCATGCATATGCATCATGTTTATTTTTACTTGAAAGTCATGAAGTTGATTTAAATTCATATGATATTTTATTATCATTAATTAAAGATGATAATTTAACACAAAAAATTATATCAATTAGTCTTGAAAGACTTTTAATAGTTGGTCAATATCCTAAAAATGACATATGGCGTTTATATAAACGTTCAATATTGATTATCTTGTTTTAATACTTACACGTATTTATACATTATTACAACTACCAAATGAACATGTTAATGAAGAACAAGAAATGATTGATAGTTCATCAATAATATCATTATCAGATAATATTCTTATTGCACTTGTTGCAGAATTATATGAACGTACTAAACAATTATCAACATTACCATATGAAGCTTTACTTTTATTACGTCCATTACCATTATTATTTGCACATATTCGTTTATCGGATGATTTATAATGAATAAAATGGTTTTAGAATTTGCTTCATCAACACAAAAATTATATTCTCAATAAATACTTGCAGATAGAGTTTTTGCTGTTTTTGTGCCTTAATTAATGTATATTATTTAGCTAAAGATAAGGAATGGACCTTATTATCAATGACAAATGTTGCACAAAGAAAACCAATAGATACGGATATATGGGAATTAACTTGTCTTATATTAAGTGCATGTTCATCACATACAATTGCTGATGCATTGTAAGTATTTACTTAAATCATTTATCCTTACTGATTTTTTTTCTTAGTTCTTTATATTAATCTTTAAAGAAAAAGAAAATTTGTATTAGAATTTCATACTGATGATTCAATAGTGAAGTCGGATTTCAGCTGTTGAATGAGCTATGTTTTTTTCACCTAAGGTGAAATATTCTTCCTGGTTTTCTTCTTAAAAATCATCAAGACTTACACGTATGATTAAAATTTATTTGAAAAAGATAAATAGTAAAACATTAATGAAAAACAAAAACTCTTTATTGCAATCCGAAGGAATGACGATCAATACAAAATTAATAGATTTCGCCATGCAATGTCAAAATGAATTTTCATAGGCAATATTGTATATCTTTTACTTTTTTAAGTTTTTATTGATGTTATCACGTTTCAGTGCTCGTTTTGAAGAATCAGACAATCGTTTATTTCTTATTGCTGATCGAAAATAGTACCTGCAGGTATATTAAAAGAAAACTTGCAAATATCAATTGTATCAACAAAAAACAAAAAATCTATTTTATTTATTTTAGTTAACGAATATTGAACATTGACGTCAATTTGAACAAGCATTCATAAATGAATCGAATCCAGAAAAATTATTGGCTGATTTACTTGAACACATTCAAAATACGGTGTGGATGTAGATGTTGTTTGGATATGTTGATGAATCATATACTCTCTCTCTGTCATCCATACCCACACCCTCAATAAAGACTAAAAATATCAATTCATAAAATGGAAACATAACAACAAGAATTAATTTATTTACTTTTTTCTTTTTACTAGAATCGGTCTTTATTATAACAATCATATCTAAATTTTCTAAAACCAATCGGAATAGATTGTCATTTATTTTGTGCTCTAATTTCTGTTTGGCTTATTGATTTATATTTCATATCGTATGTTTTATTATGATTTCAATCATTGATTTAACTAGTAAATAAGTCGATTACATGTATCCATTAAACATATTTTAGCCATTGAAGTTTTAACGAAAACTTTTCTAAACCATGTCGTTAGAGTTTAAGAGAAAGTTGCACAACATCTGGATTAAAACTTGCATTTATAACCAGTACTTTTAATAATATCAAGAAGAATGTGAGTATAGATGTTGATATTTTGTTTAAACATATCTACAATCTTTGAATCGTTTTGGTTTAGTAGATTATATGTAAAAAGCAGCTACCATACTTCATCCTATTGAACTGTTTTCTGAAAATCCATTGAAAATGATAAATTCAAAAAGTCTCGCACTGCACAATTGTTTCTTTTTTATTCAAATAACAATTCTTTTTTCTTGATTTATTATTCGTATTTTTTATTATTTTATTATCAATACAAAAAAAGTTCATAATAAAGAAAAAAATTGAATATTTTAATGCAAAAAGCAATTCATCATTGACAGTATTTAACGATAACTATCAGAAAAGAAATCAAACCAACTTTCACAAGTTCGAGTTCAGTTCGAGGCCTGACAAGCGCAGTATTATCCTGTAAAATTATTTTAGATCGTAAATTTCTGAGAACTTTTTTAATGAAAAGCATAAGTTAAAGCTCAACAATACAATCATCGAAATGCATGACTTCAGAAAAAATAATTCATAAATAACGAAAATCCAATCATCACTAAAGAATATTCTGTAAGAAAATGATCGCACCATGTTCCTGTTACATTCTAAAGATACTAAAAGGCTTGTAAACACATTCTAGAATACTTCAAACATATTTAGATTTTATTTTAAATTTATTTCTGGATTATTGGTAAATGTTTATAAATGTAAATTGATCGCTTTGCCAAATATTCCATCGAACATCGTTTGATAATCACATATAACATCACAACTTTACAAAAATGATTATATCTTAGCTAATCATTTGTTTTTCATATGCCTATCTATATTTATTCATTTTCTCAAAATTACTAATATCTGTTTATGGAAGAAGTTGTTGTTTCAATGAATAGTATCATGCTGAATCCTATTCTATTTTCATTACTGAGAATAGGAGAGACGATTAGCTTCAAAACTTTTTTCTCACAATCTACTTTCGTGATTTAAATTTTGTGTTCTAACTTATTTAACTTTGTTTCAAATATTTTTTTTGTTGTTGACACAGTAAACTTTGCATACATGTGACGAAATAGAATAAAGAAATTTTTTCTCATAAAATTTAATTTAAACAGAAATATATACAATAAGGTGTGAGTTTTCGGTTCATCTACAAAGCCATACACTCTATTGTCTAGGAATTCATTGTATTCTTCACTTTTTCTTCTGAGAAGTGTTTCTTTTTTTTTTGATTTTGGGACAATTATCAATTTAGTTTGCGTTTTATTTCAACGAGCAAGTCGTTGCAAATCTTCTAAATTAAAAAAATATTTTTCCACAGTTACAGTTTGTTGTCTGTCTCTTCTGAATAGATCAATCAATCTCATTCACATTTTTCTAGCTAATAATTGTCATTGATATCTACTTTTAAGAATCATCAGAATCATAAACTCGATCATCCGATTTTATTGTAATATAAGATTACCTGATTTTCTCCAATATGTCATTTCTTGAACTCTTGCAAAGACATTCTTTCTCAGGCATTCGCTATCGACGAAATTCAGAAACTCTAAGATATTATCAGTTAAATCTTCTAATCTTAAATAAATATATTTCTCCTGAATAATTGAAAATTCAGATAAAATTAGAATTGACTTGTATCACAAATATTCACTCTGTTCTTTAATTAACTTTAAGAAAATCTTATATTTCTCGCCAAAAAAAAGCAATCTTTGTGTTTGGATATTTGGAATATAAATTTTTCAAAAGTTATTCAAAAATAAAAGAGAATTTTGCAAGGTTACGATCTGTAAAATGATAACGCTGAAATCTTGCAGAACGCTGGTAGAAATAGTTAGTAGTTATGTTATTGGTTGTTTTAAGAACTATGCATTGAAAACAAAAAGACATGTCTGTTAACTCCTACTGAAGTATTCGCTAGTCAAAGAAACATTTGAATCATTAGCCTTAATAGTTATTTCCATACAATGTAGTATTTATACACAAATTTTTTGATTGCTAGTAAATTTATCAATAAAAATCTTGAACAAACTGTTCAAATTCTTCTGAAAAATGATGATTTTTATAAATTTACTTATGCGCTCATATAAAAAATGTGTTTTTTCTTAACTACTGTTTCCTCATACATTGAGATAAGTCCAGTGAATGATAAAGTTAATTTCGCCAACGGTTGTCTTTTACAGAAGACTCATGGTTCCATAGACTACGCATGCCTTTTTCTTTTCATATCGAATATAATTGTTGTTGCTCTTTTCAAGGAACTATTGCCTTTAGTTAATTACTTTTTGGTTAAAGAAAAGCATCAAATTTTGATAGCATTTAATATCAATATTTTCGAAGTAAATCATCAGTTGAGAAGAAAGTTAGGAGATTTACAAAACTTTCACTTTGATCTGCTTATCTATAGATGACTGAATCAATTTGTTTGATATGCCTCCTCTATTTCTTTTTTCATAGATCTTTTAAAGTTCTACAAAAGATATCTTTTTCTCTATTGCATTCATATTATCAATTTTGAGTGAATAATTTCATCGTATATTTTTGAGAAAAATTCTTTTTCATAACATCAGTATGTGTTTCACCTCTGCAAATGTTTTATAGGAGACGCATCATTTCAATGGAATAATATTCATTTATCTAGCATCTTCTATTGAATTTTAAAAAGATCACTAAGATAATTTTAATTAAAGCTGCAAAAATCGTCGAAAAATATATCCAACCAAGTAAGATAGGAGACAACAAAATTTCAAAACAGGATACTTTTCAAACATAAGATTGTCAATATAAATACCTTTAGGAATATAAAAAATGTTACAAAATTAAAATCATAATCATCTAATATGATGAATATTATTCCATTGAAACGATAAATTTTGTATTAAATCTATTCAGATAAAAACACATAAAGCTGTTATGAAAAAAATTCTTCTCAATGAAATATAAGATGAAATTAGTCATTGGAGATTAGTACGATAGGAAAATAACATTGGACTATATTGATGCATTCTACAAAATTATATATTTCAATCAATGAACAGTTTATAAATTCATTGTCTTCTTAGATTAACTTGTCATATATGTTTATCTATATCAAAATGGTAATGAGACAAATGTTTGTAAGGTTTTTTACATCAAATTATCAGCTGTAACTGAGAGTTTCTACACTGAAAAAACTGATTTTGATGTGGGTGAGTTTGGATGAGATCAGAAAGAAGAGATTCACCCACATCCCACAAAAAAGCTTGTCAAACTCGTGAGAATGTGCGTAGGGCACATCTGAAATTCATTTTTCTTTGACTCCGTGCGGAAGATGCAAGAACAAAAATAAATGGTAATTAACAGCTGGTAATTTCTTTATATAGTTATAAATGACTTAGTATTTTAGTGACCATTGATATCTCGTATCTTATATGCATATACACGTTAATTATCGTTTTGTATAAATTAACTTTATCCATGAAAGAGTCTCGAAGATTTACTATATATACAAAATAAAAAGAACTATAATGTTCGAATAAAGGGATATGCAATTGATATTCGTTATCAATCAATGTCCAACTTCATTTATTAATAAGAGATAAATTAGATTTTAAAAAATAACTATGAACATATATGATGATTATGAAAATTCAGCAGTCAGGCGTCTTTTCTACTCGTGCTTAGTTTGAGTGAAGGTCT